CATGGAGGAGCGGGATTCTAGCGTGGCCATCCCCCAGGAGGTGATTTCTTACTTGTTCTCTCTGTGACTCTCTCTGATGAGTGCATGTGCCCTATAGCAAAACAAAAAGAAACAAAACCAAATCCCGGCGCTCTGCCTTCCACATCAAGCACAGGTGATGTTAGGCGTGTTGAAGAGTGGGTTGTTAGGACTGCCTTCGGTTCTCCTTCCCAGAGTGCCTCGAGGGCAGCGCGTGTAGGCTCAGAAAGGCGAGCAGCAATGAACCCCAGTGGCAGTTTTAAAGGTGCGGAACACCCGTAAAGGGCAGGACATCCCCTCCTGGATGAGGACTGAGTAGACTGAACAAACCATTTGGATTTCGCCAATAGGCACTTGGGAAGGCTTTTGCATCTGAGACCTGGCGGGGCAGAGGGCTCTTTGGGAGTTTAAGAAGCTGGAAAGTGGCTGTGTGGCCCAGGCGTGACTGTTCGGGGTGGTCAGTAGCAGGTGGTGGGTTTGGTTTTGTGTCCAAGTATTTGGGTCCAAGTGTTAAGAGTGTCAGTGCTGCTGGAGGGACCACATGGGGCAGGCCAGCTGGAAGAGCTGGGAGCAGGGCTACTCTGCTGCCCTCTGGGTAACCGGAAACGGGGCAGGGCACTGGTTCTTGGCACTCCTCTGCAGCTGCGCGTTTTACCTTCTGGAGCTCTCCAGAAAGCTGCAGGAGAAGGCTGCTGGATTGAGTTGTTGTTGTGTGTTTGGGGGTTCGCTTTCCTTTTAAGAGACACTTATTCAGATACTGAGGTTGCAAGACTTGCATTAGCTTCGACAGTGGAATGCCGGGATAACTTTTTAAAGCAATCCGTCATCTCGGTGGGAGGGGGCCGAGCAAGGTGCGTGGGTTTTGTTTGCAGTCCCGGTCAGTGCAGAGCCCTTAGAGTCTGGGTGCAGGAGAGAGCAGAGAGCCAGCAGCACGAGGGGGCTGGGCACTGGGAGAAGTAGGAAAAGAGCCGGCAGGCAGCCGCCTAGCCTGGCTGCCCCAATGTGAGGGCTGATTTCCAGGCTGTGAAGGACACGCCCTTTCTCAGAAAGGAAGGGGAGCAGGTGCAGCTTGGAGGGGGAAGTCCTGGGTGGAGCTAAGAGGCCAGGGCTCTAGCCTTCGCCTGCGGCTGGCTGGGGGGGCCCGGCCCCACTTCCCGCTCCCACCCCAGCCCTTAGAGTCTGGGTGCAGGAGAGAGCAGAGAGCCAGCAGCACGAGGGGGCTGGGCACTGGGAGAAGTAGGAAAAGAGCCGGCAGGCAGCCGCCTAGCCTGGCTGCCCCAATGTGAGGGCTGATTTCCAGGCTGTGAAGGACACGCCCTTTCTCAGAAAGGAAGGGGAGCAGGTGCAGCTTGGAGGGGGAAGTCCTGGGTGGAGCTAAGAGGCCAGGGCTCTAGCCTTCGCCTGCGGCTGGCTGCGAGCTCCAGCCCCACCTACGAGCTCCAGCCCCACCTACCGCTGCTCTTCTCCCAGCTCAGTTTCCCTGAGGAGGAAGTGAGCCGCTATCCAGGATGAGCCTGAGGCTTGAGCTGCATCTGCCTGCGGGTGCCTGGCCGGAGATGTGCGTGGGAGTGTGGCCCACCTTCCTCACCTACATGTCCTAGCAACTCTGATCCGACTCTGATCTGAACAGTGCCTGGCCCTGCGGGAGGTGCAGCAGGGACACCAGGAGGTGGCTCGGCCTGGCTCCAGCCCTGGGAGTGCTTTCTGTAATCTGGCCAGGGGGTAGATGCAGGCGTAAAGAAGGAAGACAGGCCCCAGGCAGGAGGATCTCCAGGAGCCCAGAAGTCATCCCGGGCTGTCCCTGTCCTCTCACTTCATGTACCCACTAGCTCTCCTAGGCGTCGCTGCATTCTAATGAGGCATGTCCTCGTACTGCCTCCGATGTACAGCAGGGGAAACTGAGTCACAGAGCAGGTAAGTAACCTGGCCAAGGCTAGGCAGCAGGCAGTTGGCAGAAACGGGATTTGAACCGGTCCCGTTGGCTGCCGAGTGCATGTTCTTCCCCACCACACCCCGTGATCTCTCTAGCTAAAAGGGAGTGATGTGAGGAACTCCTTCAGAGTAGAGACAAGCTCAAGTTACCAGGAAGGATTCCTAGAGGAGAAGGCTAGAGGGCAGTGGGTAAAACTCCAGCAGAGAGGAGAGTGGGCGGCAGGTGGCCTTGACAGGGGCAGGGGCATGTTCAGAGGGGATGGGAGCCTTGACCTCCCAAGGGACGGCTCTTCCACGTGGGCACGGCAGAAGCTCCTGGAACTCAGCACCATGCTCCATGCCTGGAGAGCCACTTGGGAATTGCGTTCTCCTTGGTCACCTCCAGCATCCCCAACCCTGTCACCTGTCAGGCCCAAGACAGCCTGAGGATGAGTTCTGCCATTCTGTGTCGCTCCCGCTTCACCTGGATTGTCAGCACCTCTTTATTTATGATGGGGGCTTCAGAAAGTTCGTGGAACCTGAGATTCAATAAGTGGATCTTTGGAAATCTGCGTGGGTTTTCATAGGGCGCATTTTCCACGAACTGTATGAAGACCCCTCCTGAGTGTCCTTCCCTTCCCCTTCGGTCCCAAAGTCCCTGCAGATAGAATCTTGAGAGGCTACTCCTGAAAACATGCTGTCTGCACAGCGGGTTGCAGGAGGAGCCGTGGGCTGCAGGACCGCGGTCTGGCCGGGAACCCCAGGCCACGCAGGCAGCACTGCTGTTCTCGGGCCCGAGGCACTCGTTCTGGAGCGAACGGCCTGGTGTTCAGAGATCTCTGCCACAACAGAGGTCCACAAGGGGTGGTGCGGGAGGAGCCAGAGGCCGCGGGCAGTCAGAGCTCATGGACTGAAAGGGCTGCTGTCACCCTGAGACCAGAGCTCATGTCTGCCTCACCTCTGGACCCCAGGGTGGCCCAGCAGTGCCTGCTGCCGGACAGAGCTGCCAACTGATGGCATCAGCCTTGCCTGCCTCCTTGGCAAGGCCCTGGCTCCTGAAACGGCCCCTTCTCACGCACAGAGGTCTAGTGTGGGGAACCCCTGGGTGACTGCCCAGGCACGGGAGCCTCTGCATCTTCTCTGAGGGCCACACAAGGTTCCCGCAGAGCCCACCCGCTCGGCACAGCGCTAGTGCAGGCCTAGGGCGGCCGACGGGGTGGAGAGGTATTCCAGGAAGGTCCAGGTCTGTGAGCACGACCCCATTCAGCTCATCACCCTGCAGGGGCCTGCTCTTTCGCTGCCAGACCCGCCTCATCAGCCGCACAGAACTCTGCCTTGGGTTTCTGCTGGGGGTGCACCTGTACATTCTAAGTGACGCGTTCTCTCTTTGTGTCCTCAGGATCACACCTCGACACCCAACCCCTGACTCCACACACTCTACCATGCACACAGGAGGAGAGCTGGACGGGGCCCAGGAGCGCGCCCGTGTTCCTCCAGGCTATCGGCATGATCTCTGTAAGAGACTTCCTTTAGTCTCCTATCCGCATGAACGACCGACTGTAGACGCATGACCTGCAGTCCTCAACCCCGCCTCTAGCAAGACGGATCTGTCGGGAATCAGGACAACCGCAGCGCGAGGGGAGAGAGAGGGCTAGGAGACCAGGGCGAGCGAGCGTGCGTGGGTGCAAAAGGGGATAAGGGCTCTTTTGTGGCTGGGGATGGTTTGCTTTTCTTTTTAAAATTGTTTTAATTTTGACTTCGTACAGGGTACTTTTTTTTTTTCCAACCTCATCTGTAAGAAATCCATGTGGGCTTCCTGCAAAGAGAAAAAACAAAACACGAAAACTAGGCGTGCAACCAGTTGAGCACCTTCATCCCGTGTCCTCTCCCACCCCACACACCTCATTCCACTTGGGACGACCCCTCCACTCCTCAGTGGACCGCTCCTCCCAGAACACTCGACATGCCATTCAGGACACACGCACACGCGCATGGGCACAGGGCGCACACACCTTCCCCCTCCACTCAGTAGACACAGAGTTTACTGTGACGTCCAAAGCTGTAGAGACCCTCCTGTGGATAAACCGGGATTTTTTACGCTGTCTCTCCGCCAGTTTCAGTGTTCATCACCTTCCAATGGGACATCATTACCTGTAGAGTGCGTTCGGGTTCCTGTGTTAGGGACGTAAGAGCCAGGGCGAGGACCCCCAGGCTTAGCTGTAGTGCTCACAGGGGCCAGTGCCCCCCTGAGAGGGTCTTCTCTCCGCTGGGGAAGGGCTGGGGGCCGCCCCAGGATTGCACCAGCATGTTCAATAGAGAAGAGGTTTTCTATATCTTCGAGCACCTATACCATAGTCCGTGTTCCAAGTGTAAACTGTACAGTACTCAGCCTTGTGTATACGAACAATAAATACTATGCAAACCGATAGAAACACGTTAGTATGTGCAAAGCAGTAACAGCCGCTCCTGACGGCTTCTGGGGCCGGGAGAAGGAGCAGAGGAGAGGAGGGGAGTAGGGCTGGTTAATGTACCCCAGGTCCTAGGAGCCAGGCCCATCCCAGGTCTCCCAGAGTGAACTTGGTGCTCTCAGGCCAGGCAGTGCAGGCTGGGGCCGGGGGTGCAGGGCTTGCACTCTGCCTCAGCCTCTCGCCTCCCCACCTTGGAGCCAGGAGCAAAGGCGCTCGTGACCCCAAGCCCAGCGGGAGCAGAGCTGCTGTCTCCCCCGCGGAGAGGCCTGGCCGGATGGGATGGGGACCCTCCTGGCCCAAGGCTGCGAGTCAGGGCATGAAGGAGACAGAGAGCTGGCTGTTCCTCGCGTCTGTGCCATCAGGGAGGAGCCTTAAAGTTCCACTCGGCCTCCGGCAGAGGGAGGCCGGAATCAGCACAATCCCGCCCGCCCCGCC